AGAGAGTCAGTTCAGTCCAGTCAGCCCGTCCGTCGGCTCATCGGCCGATCTCTCTCCCTTCAGCACACATCATCGCCGTCAGCGCGTCGAAGCCATCAGAGAGCCACTCAGACAGACACACACTGAGGACACACAGACAGACAGACAGACAGACATCTGTGTGTGTGAGTCCTGCCAGTGTCCCAATGTGTGTGTGTGCCCATCTCTCTGCGTACCAGTTGGTCGAGTGCAGTGTTGTCGCCAGGCACCGCCGCCCCGCACCGCCACACGACATCTGCAGCCCACCACACACACAGACAGATGACCACCACCACCCGTCATCACAGCGCCATGCATCACCTCGGCGTGTCACTCGCTGGTCGCTCACCTGACTGACTGCCACACCGCCCGCACCGATGTCTGTCTGTCTGTCTGTCTGTCTGTCGGAGTGTGGCGCCAGCAGCCGCCCCGCCTGTGCGTGGGTCGGCCGACCACACCACAAGAGAGAGGCAGAGAGGGAGGGAAGGGTGAGGACAGTTGACAGATCTCGTGCAGTGGACCGTGAGGAGGGCTGACAAGGAGCCGACAAAGGCTAAGGGCCAAATTGGGCAGGGCGGCACAGCCAGAGGGTTTGAAGGGTTAAAGGGTAGGGTTTTCTACCCTGAACCCTACGAGCTGTTGGCGGCGTTTGTGTGTGCGCGTTGCGAGTGTGTGAGGCATTCGGCCGAGAGAACCGCTTAGCGGATCAGTGGAGTCATCCGTCACACCGCCGCCCTGTCGAGTGCTGTGGTGGGATGGCGGGCCGCTGAGCTGACAGACAGCAGAGGTGAGAGGGAGGCCACACACTCACTGACCCATTCAGTCACCTCAGTGCGTTGACCTTCTTTGTCTGTCTGTGTGCATCTCTCTCTCTCTGTGTGTTGTCGGCTCATCAGTCACTGCAGGCGTGTTGGTTCGGTGATGGCGGCCTCCTCATCTGCCGCTGCCGCTGGTGGTGCTGCTGGTAGCTCATCGGCGGCCAACAAGATGCCATGTGGTCAGTCAGTGAGCCACCACATCCATCCATCCAGTGAAGGCATGTTTGATCTGTCTGTGTTTGTGGTGCAGGTCATCAGTTCCACTGGCAGTGTGTCAACAATCGCAAGTACGGCCTCTTTGGCGAAGCATCGCCATCGACAGCAGTGGCGGCCAAGTGCAGCAGCCGATGTGGCAAGGACAACAGCGGCAGCGTACTGAGAGTGGACGGTGAGCAGCACACCATTTGACGGACAGGCTAAGGCATTTGGTGTGGTGGTGTGCCCTCTGTGTCCCTTCAGGCCATTCGGTGTGTGCAGAGGTGAGCATCCAGGACGATCTCTGTGTGTGAGTGTGGCGATGGATGGCGGTGGAGCCATTCACTCATCTGTGTGTCCTCTCTGTCCTTCAGTGTGTTGTGCAGCGCATTAGATACGGACACCCGGCGCCATCTGCCCCGTCTGCAGGTAAACACACACAGACACACGGCACCCACACACACAAAGAGATGATACACAGCTGTGTGGTCCCCATGTGTGTGTAGGGCCGCCTTCGCCTGGGCGCACGGCCCTCGGGGTGTGTCATTTGTCGCTGGCCGTCCCTGCTGGCCCATTGGCAGCTCCGTCGGCCTGTCGTATGTGGCGCACATCGCCAAGTGGCTGGGGGGCCACACATCACTCACACTCATCTACAGGTACACACACACACACATATGGCCATCTGATGTGTCATTGATATGTGTGTGCATCAGGGCGTCGCGTGACGGCACCACTTACGGCGATCTGCTGCGGTGTGTGGGCGACAAGACCGGCCTGGCCTTCATCATCCGCAAGAACCAGTACGTTTTCGGCGCCTTCATCAGTGCCGGTCTGGAGCTGCCCGACGGACCCACCGACATCAACTGGTACGAGTGTGACTTGTGGTATTTCTCGCTGGCCGGCCACATCCCCAAGCCCACCAAGATAGACGTCGACCGAGCGGTGCAGTATGTGATAGTGGCGGGGAGGGAGGGGAGTGGGTGGGGTGGGAAAGTGTACATCAGTGGGGACCTGTTGTTGGGTGACGGCCGTGGCAGTGGCAGGCCGGCTGCCGACATCCGCAGCTGTGCACAGCTCACCGACAGGGACTTTTTGACTGCGGGCTATGTCGGGGAGAGGAATAGCGATGGCCATGCTCTGCTGGGCGGCTCGGTCTGTTTTCATGCGGATGAGATAGAGGTGCTGCACGTGGGTGGGCAGTGAGTGTCTGTTTGGGGTGCATCCGCTTCTCGACGTGGGCGGGGCATGAGAGCGGTAGGTCACTGACGGAGGGAGGGGGAGGATGTGTGTCTGTGTGTGTCAGGTGCCTGTCATGTGATTGCTCTCTTCTCCCCATCCCGCGCTGCACAGACATTCCCATGTGCAGGAGGGCTCTGTGGATGTGTGTGTATATATGACGGACGAGCTGTTTGTCTGTCTGCACAGCTTATTAAATATATCCCTTCCATCGCTTCTGAGACCCAAAGAGACTGACTCACTTAGATGATCGAAGAGGATGGCGGCGAGCTTTGGCGGAGCTCGCGGTGGGTGAACGGCAGCGCGTCAACTTGCATTATGT